TCTCTCTCTCTCTCTCTCTCTCTCTCTCTCTCTCTCTCTCTCTCTCTCTCTTTCTCTCATCGTGTTATAGCTTCAAATACGTCATTCTGCCCTAACACAACGTACGATTCTGTATTCCTACGTTTACCTTCCATGTAATTGTTAAGCCCTGTATTTCGGAGTGAATGTTAAGCCTGTATCATCCAACCTAGATAATACTGTTTTATCTACACAGGTGAAAAGTTTGGTTGAAATGAAACACTGTGTAGCAATGCCGTTGTTTAGCGTGGTGTGTGCTGTATATATGTATGTACATGTTTCTGTAACGACACTTTTGATTATTTGGCTTTGTGGTGAGATACCGTCCTTGCTCTCCTTCCTTCTCTAGTGACAGAGGATGGGACAATAGTCTATACGGACTCCTTGATCGGAGAAGATCCGCTTATTCCAGAAATATGTAAGTCCTAGTTTCACTTTCACACAGGATCCTTTTACTTTTAATAATATAATAATAATAATTTATTTTGCTGTTTTAATCTACGACTTAACTGTGTACCCGTCGCTCGACTTTTTTTTTTTTTGTTGCTAATCCTTAATCCTCTTGTTTGTTGATTCGTCTATTATAGTATTCTTTTCTTCTTTTGCTTTTGAGACTTGGATAATTCATGTCCAGCCATGTTTGATGTGCTCTTAGGAAACACACAGGCCAGGTACATTGAAAGCTTAAAGAATAATGACATATAAGGACTCAGAAGCTCGTCATCTAGATTTCGATAACGGTATCAACGAATTTACTGTGGTTTTTCTTCTGTTTTTTAAATTCTGTTCTTTGAAAGGACTCCAATTTGTATTAATAATGTCGGTTGTTACTCTAAACAAAAGCAGCAAACTCTGTGATCAAGTACAAAGTAGCGCAAGAACTTCTGTATTAGTAGAACGAATGACAAGTATGGGGTACATACATTCCTAAAATCTGCTCACAAATTCATAAATGAGAATGTTTGGATATACATTATACATTTTAAGGTAAGGGTATGAAAAATCTGTTGTTTGTTGTCGCTAGGGGATTGAAAAATGGGGCGGGTGGGGTGGGTTTTATTGGTGGGGTTGGGGGGGAGGGGCTGGGTATAACCACCCACGATACTGTAGTAGGTGTTCTATTTCACGCAGCTTGTGGTATGCAGTATGCAGCTTGAGACCAGACAAATATACTGCACTATTTTGTATCATGCTCAATTTTTGCACAACACCTGATTACTTACGTTCATGTACAGCATGTTTTGTGTGACTTGTTGTCTATAAGTTTGCCTGTAGCTGCTTTGGCATTAGCTTTTATGGACTGGAGAATTGTAGTTCCTCCTTTTGTTTCAATTTTTAGAGAAAAAAAAAAAGATAATTACGGTTTTCATGTTGTTATAAATGAAATGGAGAGAATAATTAACATACTTAACATAATGATAAAATGATTAGGGACCTAACACGATGTCAGTCAACAAGTAGCAGTCTTTTTTTTGTTTAAGTGATCGCAGATTTTGTGTTGGCAGAGCTTTGACTGTGTTCATTTTGCGACATTTCTTTAATATTGTGTTTTTTTGTTGTTGCTCTTATTAACGTAATAGCTTGCTACTAAAAATAATACATCAACTACAACTGTCTGATTACATCAGCACCTGTCAATTTGAGTACTTGTTATACTCCCAAAAATATATGAATTTTGTAAACATGATATCTGCTTGTCTGTATGGCTATATGTCTTGATGTCTATAATTATGTGTGTATGTCTTTATGCATGTTTGTATGTCTATCTGTGTTATGTTCAACTTTCCGCTATGTATCTTTCTCTTTCTATCACTCTTTCGCCAGCTCAATTTCTCTCTATTATCTATCTATCTATCTATCTATCTATCTATCTATCTATCTATCTATCTATCTATCTATCTATCTATCTATCTATCTATCTATCTATCTAT